CTCCTGCACATGCTCGCACTCTACGGCGACCCCCTTGCCCAACTCGAGCTCTTCGTCTTTTATTCGAAGTTGCTCCTCAAGCACACTCCTGCTGCGGATAGTCTGCATCAATTCCTGGTCCCTTTTCTCCAACTCCTCACCAAGAGCCCGATTACTGGGGTTTGCCTTCAGCCGCTCATGCATCTCGCGACCCTTGTTGCGGTAGCGACGATATTTCTCCAACATCTTCAAGTAAATCTAGGCCCGAATATTGGCCCTGCGAATGCTTTCCACTTCCACCATATATGTCTGAAAAATGTAAAGACGGGTTAGAATCGTATCTTCAAGAAAGGCGAGGGAAAAACAAAAGTAAGCGTAACATACCCTTAAGCCCATAACAGCCACCTCATCCATCAAATTAACATCAGGAACGTACCGAAGGGCCGCATTCTCGGATGCAGAGCATAACATGCTGAACTACGACACCAGATCCTCTGTATCCCCTAAGAGATTGGTATCCGAAGGGATCTCAAGAATACGGGCTGAGCCTCTCGCACGAACCATCGAGTGAGTAAGGCCCTCCTCAAACATCCTGACATCATCAGGGTCGAGGTCCGATTCGGATTCGTAATCGTCGACCACCACGCCTTTTCCTCTTTCAACAGCTAAAGAGGAAGCACGACCAACTGTAGAGGATGAGGGTACGTACGAAACTACAACGGCTGCCCCAAAGTCTGACCTTTCGCCACGATAGGTTGCTGACACCGACAACGGCGGGAATCTCTGATTTAGCCAAGGCAACGACTGGTTCCATCCCTATGGGGGGAGCCACGACAACCCCCTTTCCAGAACCCATTGTAGGGGAGTCGTCTAGATTAATCACTGTTGCGGGCGCGATCTCAAACTCCACTCGCCGCTTTTTCGATAGCCCCTCCTCTTCCCCAGTAGACAAAGATTCACCCGTCAGGCGAGCGATACTGGTCAGAACTTCGGCCTGAGAATCGACCCTTGCAAGAGTAACCACTGCCGCAGACTCAAACTGAAGCAGCCCTCAACGAAGGTCGGGCAGTGGGTACCGCAATAGGGTGAGTAGATGAGGCCGGCTGCCGGAAAGCCAACGGAGGAGCCCTCACTCTTCTCACCCTCCCTGACACCAACGAACAACACGTGAGGAATTAAATACAAAGAGGGAGAAAAGAAAAACGGCGAACAGAAACGACACCTTACCAGAAAGAGGCCTGCGCCTATACTTGTCATAAAAGGTCGCCCATGTGCGGACTCCCGCCGTATGAGGGAGAATGGAGCTCACCCACTCGCAGATATTTTCGACAGGGGGAGGCAGCAATTTCTCAGCTGCAAAAACATAATAGGATTTAGTATTGTAGTAAAAATGGTCGGATATATCTCCTACTAGAAGCATGAGACTTACGTGCAAAGTTCCATTTCTCAGGGAAGCCTGTCGGATCCGCCACAATGTGTTTAATCCGTACATAGAAATAATTCTCATAAAAAGGGCGATTGGTCCTATCATCCATTTTCACCACCACACTCTTCGACCCCCGAGGACGCATGTGAAGCATCATGTCGCGGATGAGTTGAGGGGAGAAGATACTGAGCAGATGGTCCAAAGTGATCTCACGATCGGCGAGTTCCGCAAACTTGAGCAACATAAGGAACAACTTGTACAAGTACGATGAAAGTTGAGCGAGCATACCTCATAAAAACGGCAGAAGTCTACCACCAAGAGAGGGAGAGGAAGCGTATATCCAATAAGGAAGGGGTAGGCATAAAATACACAGTACCTAGGACGGTCAAAATGACCAATGTCGGTTCCTACCGCCGGTCGCATGTCAACATAGCCGGAGATCCCCCACCTGGTTTTCAATTCCGCAATGTCCACTTCTCTTAGAACAGAATGGACAGGCTCCGGCTCCACCCCGGCGCGAGTGCTGAAGTCGGACAATTCCCTCCTAGGGTGAGGCAAAATCTCGACTATCGACGAGACCTCCTCGTCTTCCACCGTATCTACCCCTACAGTGGCCTGAGCAGCGCTTTCCGGTGCCGGAACTGTGGCAGGAAGATCGGTGCGAGAGGAATCACCAGCCATTTTGTCCAGATGACACGACAAAAAGACAACGGAAGAAAAGGATATTTTAAGTTGATTAAGGGCAAACTAAAACTTGGAGTGCCAGAAAGAAGTATATCTGCAAAATTATCTCGAGTAAAAGGTAAAAAAGTGTGTCAACCACATGATAAGCTCTCTCTATTTATAAGAGACATAAATCCCCCGAGCACGATACCCAAGAGTCGCTAATCGAATCTGATAGGGCACGAAACGTCAGTTCCCTAGGAACATGTGTCATAATGGCAGTTACCACGAAACAACGCTTTGATACCAAACGATGTTTCGGTTCCGATACCGCCGTAACAGTCCATGGGTATCGAAAGAACGCCGTCACCCCGCCTAAAACCTAAGTAATGTAACTAAGGAATGAGAAATCAGAAGTCAGATTTCGCTCGAATTCGTAGCAATCATGATCCGTTTGCCGAGCCCGACAGACGGAGGGCCTAATGCCATGCCTAAGTGACAGGATAGTGAAAGATAACATAGCCCACTCTACATCCCTTTCCCGACATCCGTCGAGTCGAAAAGAGCAGTGCCTAAGAGGACGACCATGACACCTTGGAGGCGAGAAAGCGTCGGACCAAGTAAAAGGCAAGGGTGTCTTGACTATATATAGTAAGGGAAAACCTTCGATTGAGGAGGGTCCTCCCCCCTTTCTCTCTCCCAAGCTCTCTTCTTGTAATCTTGATATGAAAGAAGCAATCCACAGAAGAACATGTAAAGCTGTCCCCCCATTGATCGATGAGAATCACAATGTTGAATTTCAATAAGATTGTTTGCATCTTTTTCGCCCTATACATAGTCCACACAATCAGCTCTTTGATCTGGAATTTATTATGTCTGACTAAGATTTACCCCTTTATCATCTTTAATTGATTTGTTCAAAAATGTTTTGATATCTTTTGAGTCAAATAAAAACTTACTGGGCCAGGATAATCAAGAAAGCGGGTGCAATAAAACTCTGCATCTTCAAATCTCATTTGAGCTTTATAATATCTGGCAAGAAACATTAAGGCTTCAACCAGATTTGGACCTTTCTGTTCTTCAGTTTCCATCCTTTCCAAATCCTTCTTGTAGTAAAAAGCTGCATCTTCGAAATAACCAAGTTCAGAATGCAGTTAAGCTAGCTGGTGAGGAGCAATTGCTTCTCTGTCATTAAAGTGTGCTGCCCTTCTGTAACATTTGATTGCCTCCTCAAGCATACGCAGCTGTTCTGTTTCATAACACTGGGCCATAGCAATCAACAATCGAGAATCATTTGGCTGCGACAACACTGACTTTTTAAAATAATGAAGAGCGTAAAATGGCGTCTCCATCATCTCATATGCTTGTCCTAATCCATACTAGGCTCGATAATCACATGGATTTATCTCCTGATGTCCCCGTCCGCTTATAGGCTTCAACTGCCGCTGGTGTGTTTTTCATCTCTACATACTCATGACTCATTTAGTATCCAAGCTGATAAATAATGTTTATTCAATTTGAGAGACCTCCGAAAAATACTTCTCGTGCTGCTCCTATAAACTTTAAAAGTTCCCAATAATGCAACAAAACTAGCCTATATTTACCACAACAACAATAACATATCCAGTGTGATCCCACAAGTGGGATTTGGGGAGAGTGAGGTGTAGACCTTACCCCTACCTTGTGTGAGATAGATAGACTGTTTCCAATAAACCGTCGGTTCAAAGATCTGGCCTGTATTTATCTTTGTCAAAAATACTCTCCGTGCAAGGTAACTTAAGGCTGAAAAACATTCCTTAGCATGGAACACATCGGAATACATATCCATGTCTTCAATTTCGTTAAGGGTCATTACTTAGAAATTTTTTCAAATATAACTTCTACTTGTTCAAATTCTCTAGGCTTTCTTCAAATATAATTGTTAAAATTGAAAGTGCCGTGCGAATGTTCACATGTTGCCAATGACTCATTTAAGCAGAAGCTGGGTAAATAGACGAAGAGACACAAAACATAAAAGTGAGTAATAACTATATAGATATATAGTAGAGTTAATTGCACTAAACACTCTTATTTCAGATTAAATAAGTTTTGTATCAATCAGTTTAAAGTTGATATTTTACATCGAGTGGCAGTTGCAACAACAATGAGGCATATTTCGTAATGGAAGTTATTTTTCAAGAAAGTATTTTATACATAGACTATAGCATGTCGTTAAAGAAGCATACGGGGACTGGTGTGCTCTACTTGGTTACTTGCTACAACTAGGTGTTGTTTGGTTATACCGAAATTATGATACCAATTTCAGTATAAAATTGGATTATATTAATTTCGTGTTTGGCTATTAATATTAACTAATACTTAAATTATGATCTTATTTATCTCATATCTGGAATTATAATCTCACAATTTTCTTGTTCCAACCAAGCAATTCTTTTAGTCCCCGCGTCCTAAATTAATTATTATGTTTTGCTTCTTGAGAGTCAAATTATATGAATTTTGAACTACATTTTAAAATATATTTTTAATTATATTTATATTAAATATTTTTTGTATAATTTTTAAATATTTAAATTATTAATTTTAAAATATTGAGTTGATCTAATCATTATGAATTTTAGTCAAATTGATTATTAACATGACAGAGAGAGTAATACTTAGGGGTTGTTTGATATGAGGGATAAGGTGTGATAAGGTAAGGGATTAAATTTATAACATGTTTGGTTGATGGTATAAATTTATCCTGCAGCCAAACATGATATAAATTTAATCCCAAACTTAATACTGAATATCCCATCTTAACCCATCAAATTTGGAATTATTTTATCCTACCTGAATAGTCGAGGGATTATAATCGTGAGATTATTATCCCGGATAACTTAGTCCGCTCACCAAACGACCCCTTAACATATTAGCCTACATGAATTGAAGGGTTTGTCAACACTTGATGCCAGCAGTCTTTATTCTTTAGCGCAATAGACAGCAGAACGGTGAAATGGTGAACCTGTACAATAGTACACTCCTCAAAGCACCTCTAAATCGCATTTTCATCTCCCTCCGCCATTTCACCTCTCTTCTACCACCGTCACCACCACAATCGCCGTCACAGTCACCACCAGACCCCATCACAATCTCCAACCTCATACATCAAACCAACCCAGAATCATTATCAGACACCCTTCACAACCTCACCCAATGGACCCCTGACCTCGTTCACGCTGTCCTAAAGCGTCTCTGGAACCACGGCCCTAAAGCCCTCCATTGTTTCAACCTCCTCGATCACCATCGTTCCTATGCTCACTCTGCTACAGCCTTTGACCATGCTATTGACATCGCTGCTCGTATGCGCGATTACAAGATCGTTTGGAAGCTCGTGGCCCGAATGCAATCTCGGCGACTCGGCCCGAGCCCGAAAACATTCGCTATCATCACTGAGAGGTATGTATCTGCTGGGAAAGCTGATAAAGCGTTGAAGGTTTTCCTGTCTATGCATAAACATGGTTGCCCTCAGGATTTGAATTCTTTCAATGCATTCCTTGACGTGCTTTGTAAATCTAAACGGGCCGAGATGGCTTATAATTTGTTCAAGATGTTTAGGAGCAGGTTCAGAGCTGATACGATTAGTTATAACACACTAGCGAACGGGTTTTGTTTAATTAAGCGAACACCTAAAGCACAAGAGATTTTGAAAGAAATGGTGGAGAGAGGTCTGAATCCCACAATAACTACATATAACATAATGCTTAACGGGTTCTTTAGAGCAGGACAGATTAAGGAAGCTTGGGAATTCTTTTTGCAGATGAAGAAGAGGAAATGTGATATTGATGTTGTTACTTACACTACTGTAGTTCACGGATTTGGTGTTGCGGGTGAAGTTGAGAAGGCGCAAAAGGTGTTCAATGAAATGGTGGGAGCTGGCATACTTCCCTCTGTTGCAACTTATAATGCGCTGATACAAGTTTTGTGTAAGAAAGATAGTGTGGAAAATGCTATTTTGGTGTTCGATGAGATGTTGAGGAAAGGTTATTTGCCGAATGCCACAACTTATAATGCCATTATCAGGGGATTGTGCCATGTTGGAAAAATGGACAGGGCTACGGAATATATGGATAAGATGAAAGAGGATGGGTGTGAACCAAATGTTCAGACTTATAATGTTGTCATCCGATACTATTGCGATGAAGGGGAAATTGAGAAGGGCCTGAGGGTGTTTGAGAGGATGAGTACTGGTGATTGCTTACCTAATCTGGATACATATAATATTTTGATAAGTACAATGTTTGTTAGGAAAAAATCAGATGATTTATTAGTGGCTGGGAAACTATTGACAGAAATGGTTGACAGAGGATTTCTTCCTCGAAAATTTACCTTCAACCGGGTCCTTAATGGGCTTTTGCTAACTGGTAATCAAGATTTTGCAAAGGAGATTTTGAGGTTGCTAAGCAAATCTGGCCGCCTCCCCTACCATTTTAAACTGTGAAGCACATCAGTGTACGGATGATACCCAAACTAAGTGCCTATTTGGAGCTTAATGAAATCTTAAAGCTCTAAATGAGATAAGTTTGTCGCTTCCCATGAAATTCAATTTTGGAGTGTGGTGTGGATAAGTATGATGAATGTGAAGAGTTTTAGATGAAACCGACTTAAAAAGCATGCCACTAAAAAGAACATGTGTTGTTTAGCAGGGTGCTCTGACTTTAGCCTAGGACTTAAAGGAGGTGGAGTTGCAAATTAGGTATATCATGCAAATGGAGGTGCACAATGTCATTGATATCAAAATGCTCCCATTTTTGCTTCTACCGGATAATTCAGCACTTCTTGTTATTGATATATACACAAGAAAGGACACTGATGGTGACATCCAGTTAAAATGACATTCGTGTATACAAGTTCCTTTTTCCCTCTTTATTCTTGATGAAGGTTTAGAAAATAAATTGCGGTCATACATTTACTGACTCTTTGCAGTTCAAAATTTAAGAATATGATTCGTAAATGCTAAGTTGATGAATGACTTTGATGGTGTTGTTGTTACCCAAAAAAGGGGGCAACTGTTCAATAAGCAATTTAATTCTCTCAAGTTTATATGTGCTCTCTTCAACTGCTTGATCCCAAAGAAACTAGTTGATGAACATGCTGACATTTTGAATTCCTCGCATTTCCAGACACCTTCTCTGTGATTTCGGTCTTTGCTTGAAACAACAATAAGCTATAACTCAACACAAAGATAGAAATTCTTGTGTTCGTCTTTTCGTGATCATTAACTAACTTGCATTGATTCAAGTCTATATAGTATAATATTCGAAATTGTTGCTGATGCAACTTAAATTGCATGTATGATTTCATCTATTTGGCGCCTTTCTTTCTTTTTATGTGATAACTGTGGTGTCCTGGCCAGCTTGCGCGCCTCGACTAGTTCCACGGGATACCTGTCACCTACCACCAGCAACAGGTACCGGAAGGCTTGGACAAATTTAAAGAAATCACCTAGTGTTTTTGTCTCTGTTGGGGTTTGAACCTGAGACCTCGTGGTTCTCACCCACTTCGTTGACCTCTAGGCCGAACCCCTGGGTGCAGGATGACCTTTCTTTTTATTTTTCTTTACGGAGTTGAATAAGCCTTTCTCTTTGTCTTACCTAAAGGTTGTTGGAGAGTGTTGCCTTGGGATCTGCTTTTTAGTTTCAGTCAGTCTTGAAGTACTTGGTTTATGCATTACCGGATTGCTGTGCATGGATCGCGGATCAGCGGTTTCCTTTTCCCGCTATTACTACTTCCGACAAGGAAAACCTATCTATGCTGTTATATAGTGACTGAATAGAATGTTTGAATTGCCAATCTTTAGCGTTTTTGTGAAAAATAGAGAGCATACCTGATGATCATGCAAGGACATTGTCATAATCTATGCTGTAGGATAGATTTTTCCATCCAACCTCAACTAAGGCTTCAGGCTTCAGTGTCATTATAAAAGACTAGAAACACTAAATGATTATCAAAACCAACAGGTGCTCCTAATACAATAGCTCCCACTGCATTTACTACAGCCCTACTAACATGATATAAGTGAATAATGCATATTACTTAATAGATTGTCAACTCGTTTTTTTTTGTTGATAAAGTAAAGATTTTCAACTCAATTTTATTCCGTTCTATTTGGAGTACTCTTAATCTGGTACTTTTGGAACTTATGTTGCAATTTTCTTTTAGCCAAGTGTTTCTACCCTACTCATTCTGTAGAATGTAAATTTTCAGTTATGAGTTAGTTGCAATGTTTCACAAGTACATAAGGGGGCTTTGGGATGAGTTTTCTGAGAATATCAAGCTGAAAATCAGCAATGAGAAGTGAATAAAAATGTGGATAGACAAGTCGCTAGATGATATTCCTCTCAAAGACCAATTCCCAGGCCTTTACACAATCTGTTCTGATAAGGACTGCACTACGGCTGCCTGCTTTTCTCTTTGTGGATGGAACCTACAGGCTATATCTGAGGAGAAACATGAGTGATTGATTGTATTAATGTCCGGAATTTGGAGCCGGTTTCTCTTGACACTCTAATGTGGAAGATGAAGAAAAGATGGCAAGTTTACTGTTAATGCTTGCTACAAAAGTCTACTAAAGAATAGAGGAGGAGTCTCAAGTTAGTTGGCCAAGGAAGATTACCTGGAAGACAATCGCACCCCGAAGAGCTGCTCCCTTAACTTGGATCGCTACCTGTCAAGCTTGCTTAACTCAAGATAACTTGCAGAAGAGAGGCCTACCTATGTGTAGCAGATGTTTCCTCTGTGAGGAGGCTAATGAATCTGTCACTCACATACTGCTTCATTGCACCTTCACAAGGCAGATTTGATTAGTGTTCCTTAGTATTTTTGGGGTCCAATGGGTCATGCCAGAAAGTATCAAACTTGCACTATGCTGCTGGTATAAGCGGTTGTTTTGGCAACAGACAGTTCTGGAACACTGTTCCTAATTGTACTTCTGGAACACTTGGTTAGGGAGAAACAATAGGTGCTTTAATGATAAGAGGGACAACATTTCATTTGTAAATCTGTGGACTAAGAACAGTATTGTCTCCGACATAAACTCACTGTCTGCATTCTCTTCAATCTGTAGAAGGATGCTCCCCACTTTCTGGTGTAATCTCTCAGTACCATCTTGGTACCATTCAATAAAATATCTACCTTTTCTTAAACAAAAAAAGTTTTGTAAGTAGAAAATAGGCTTGTGTGGTTCCCTCTTTTTCATTTTTACCTGTACTTTGTATTTCCCCCGCTATTGGAAACTGGGGCAGAATTTTGAGGAGGACCCTCAAAATTCCGAAGTCGATTCCAGCCATTTATGATTAACAGCCGTCAGGAGCAGCAGCCCAGTAAACTGGGGCAGAACTTTGAGGAGGACCCTCAAAATTCCGGAGCAAGCGAAGATGCAATGTCTTGAACCACGTCGCAGTCGTCAGTTCATCTAAAAAAATTATTCTTAATTATGCACTTATATTATGCTTTTACTAAATCATGCATGTTCATTACTAAAATTGCCTTGTTTAGCAACGCTACCCCAATGATACGTACAGTATCACTAGATCAAAGTCGAGCAAGTCAAGCAAAGCCAGCGGGGATACGAACTAACTTTTCCCCCTTTACAAACTCACGATTTTTCTTTGGATACAGGCACTTGAGTTGCAAAATCATTAAATGTACTATACACTCACTCACAAAGTTCAGGAATACAACTCTCCGAACCGTTGCACTTGCTCGCAACTGCTATCCGCACAATAGTGTCCCCAGCAGGCACAATATTCCCAACAATCATGATACCGCAATCTGCTATCAGCTAAGAAAACTCTATTGCCATTTGCCATTTTTACTTCCTGCATAAGACTACCATTCTGCCATCTGAGGTTAGGCTCTACCTCCATCTACATTCTCTGCATTGCATAAGGCTACCATTCTACCTTCCGAGGTTAAGCTCTACCTCCATTCGCATTCTTTGCATTGCAGGCTACCATTCTGCCTTCCGAAGTTAAGCTCTACCTTCATCTGCATTTCGCTGCATTGCATAAGGCTACCATTCTGCCTTCCGAGACTAAGTTCTGTCTCCATCTGCATTTCCTGCATTGCATAAGGCTACCATTCTACCTTCCAAGGTTAAGCTCTACCTCCATCTGCATTTCGCTGCATTGCATAAGGCTACCATTCTACCTTCCAAGGTTAAGCTCTACCTCCATCTGCATTTCGCTGCATTGCATAAGGCTACCATTCTACCTTCCGAGACTAAGTTCTGTCTCCATCTGCATTTCCTGCATTGCATAAGGCTACTATTCTGCCTTTTGAGACTAAGATCTGTCTTCATCTGCATTTCTTGCATTGCATAAGGCTACCATCCTGCCTTCCGGGACTAAGCTCTGTCTCCACCTGCATTTCTTGCATTGCATAAGGTTACCACTCTGGCTTTCGAGACCAAGCCCTGTCTCCACCTGTATGGTTGAAATATCGCCACTTTATTTATGCCTCGTGTGGCTGAAATATCGCCACTTTATTTATGTCTCGCATGGCTGAAAGATCGCCACCTTCATCTACATCTTGCACGGCTGAAATATTGTCACTTTTATTTTTCTTGCATGGCTGAAATATCGCCACTTTCTATTTACATCTTGCATTAGCTGAAATACCGCCACCTCGTTTACATTTTTGCATGGCTGAAATATCACCACTTTCTATTTACATCTTGCATCGGCTGAAAAACCGGCGCCTCACATGGGTTTCCTTGAAGAACGAAGTCTAGGGTAAAGAAAGAAGGGTAGAGTGGGCACACTTTTACTGTGCTTGGATTGGCATGGCTGTCCCCCTTTGCTGGTTGAGGCTCGGCCTTTGACTCCGCTTGCCTCTACTTTTCATGTCAAGCGTACAAGTCTAGTTTAGTGGGATTTACTTCTAAAGACAGGAATTCTTTTTCATCTCCCATGTCAAAGTCGACGTCTTAACCTGACTTCCTGAGCTCAGTTAATTCTTGAAGCAGTAGCTCTGGATGTACATATGCTTGTGATAAGTAGGATAAATCAAAAAAAAATATGTGAATTTTTCTTACTAATATTATAAAGTGACTTTTTTATAGTCGAAATAAAGTGAATTTTTTTTGATTATTAATTTTTTCTTGATTTATTTCATTATTGGAAATGTATTTATCAATCAATTTGTTTGTTGATTCAAGAAAGAGTTGTGTATTAATTCTGGGAATATTAATGATAGATAAAAGCTGTCAGCAAGGCAGGTCCGCTACAAAGCCTACCGGCTAGAAAGTCCTTAAGAACGAGAAAGCCGACTAAAAGGCTATTCCATAACCGACTCTTGTTGCTGAGTCGAGGGGGCTTGGCTGGTACCAGACTCTAAAAAAGTTTTCTTCGAGCGAGCGGTCTTTCTATCTTTTTGGGTTGCATGCCCAAGGCAATGCTTTTTGTAGATTGAGATGGATTGATCTTCGCTTACATTTTTGCATTGGCTGAAAGATCGCCTCCTGCATCTCATGGGATGAAAGATCGCCAAATTGTCCGAAGACATCATTGTTCGGAGGCACCATTTTCATAACCCGAGAACGCCATGCCATGGCCTGAGGACCCCAT